TACACAATATAAATTGATTCGTTTCTTATTCTATTGATACAATTGCTTTGCCTATTACTTTGTGGTTGTTATTTCTCTATTGTTATTATGGTTGGTGATTTCTGTTTCTTTTTTCTGAATAAGATTACTGCCGTTCGTGTCCATGCTTAATAATAATAGTTCAAGTGCTGGAAAATGAGTCAGTTAAAATGCGATGCGCACATTCTTTGTACTAGAGATACATTCTTGCAAATAAAAATTCAGAAATCAATTCAAATGAAAAAAGTGCAATTTTAAAGTGTATGTACTTCATTTCAAACGCTATATCATTCATTTCTCATTTTTGAAGCAATAATGTTTTAATCGAATGTGTTACAATACGAAAAAGAAAAAAAAACAGACAAATTTGCCGTTTATATTTTCGAATAATAAGAAAAAGACATGCAGACTTTTCTCCATAGCAATCCTCATTTGGTTGTAGAAATTCTGGCGAGTCGGAAATATTTTTGTTTGCGGTTCATACTTTCGATAGACACTTCCAGATCAAGCATAGCTTCCATACCCAAAACGTTCACGTCTGCGAAGTGACTGTGCGAAATGTTGCATTTGATTTCAGACTTGGAATCCTGAGAATATAAAATAACTGATAGAAATTTAACTAATAATCTAAAGAAAGCAAGACATGCAACAACATATACCTGTATTGCAACAAAATAATTGGTAGCACTACGGTTGCACCATACATCTCATTTAATGTATCTTTGCAGAGAAAAGTGCAATTGGAACCAGTGTCAACGAGGAACCAGACCTTGACAATCGGTGCAGTCGGCTTTTCGACACGCTGACAGTTTAGACAGATCATCAACCGATTATTTTCACCGAAAATTATGCCATCAACCGGAAACGGTGACGCACTAAACCCCCCTTTGCTCAAATTTGGATTTCCGTGACGATTGCCAATCTAAAAACAAAAACATTACAAAAACGAAAAACGCAGAGAAAAAACTAACTTTCATCAGCGAGATCTTTTCGATTTATGTCTGTTAAAACCATGTCATGCTGATCGGCTGACAACGCTTCATCATGATACAAAATCGGTCCATCGTTTCTCCCACTTGACAACGAACTCTAAAATAATCGTGTAAAAAATGAAAAGTTGGTTTATCTCGTTTACAGAAAAAAAAGACCATTCTAAATCTTTTTCCTCAAGACATTACATTCAGTGTGAGTAGTGTACTTCAATAACTTACATTCACAGAATTCGTCATATAATTGTCGACACTGTTTGGTTTTGTGTATTTACAATTTTTGTTATTATCAACTGATCGATTGTAGTTTTTTTGGGAATAGCCAGCAACAGAAACAGCAACTCTAAAATATTACAATAAAATGTCAAAAAATTGATTGAATCACATTCTTTTTTATTTCTATTTCTACCTCTCACTCCAATTGCAATGTTCAAATTTATAAATTCTCTTACCGTTGAATTGAAGCAACTTGTGGAATTCGGCGTAATATTGTTGTTAACATTTTTTTCTCTTCTATATCTCAGCGATAAAAATAAACTCTTTTTGGATGATTTGTGTTGGAGCTAAGGATCGAACAATATTGACGGAACGTTATATTCCGATAGCTGTCAAACATTATTTACGCGCAAAATAATTCAGTTTGACATTTCAGAACATCGGTCATACATGAAGTTGTTGTCAATTTTTTTCTCGTAATTTTCGACTGTTTTTTAATGAGTATATGATGAACCGTTGCAAACATCTAGACAAAACGGTTGATTAATCTAAAGGAAAAAATCAACAATGAAATAATACTAAATTTTGTTGATTAATTTTTTTATTGAAAATAGCAAATAAAATCCGATTCATTTTCGAAATTAATACCGTGCGATTCTACTCCGAGAAGCTTTGGCATTTTGAAATAAATTCGCTAGATGGCATTGTTGACACTCCATTCGTATTCGTATATTGTAGATTGCTTTAAAATGACTGCGTAAAGCTATTTAGTGCTCCATGTGATAGCGAGCAATGTGTATGTATTTTGCGTACACAGTAGAATCCGATAAGAAAAGGACTTAGAACACAAAGTTGAATATTGGAGAATTTGTCCATATTGATTGTTGCTATTGTGGTTGTGGAAAAAAAAGTATCATAAGAAAATGAAAGATAAATTCAATTTAATTTGCATCGATGATCGGGTTCAATGCCGTTGATACTGTTGCTGCTGCTGCTGCTGCTGCTGCTGCTGTCGTTGTCGCTCACAAAGAGAAAGAGCGTGAGCGAGAGAGAGGTGTGTGTGTGTGTATGTGTGTGTGTCACATTCTTTTCTTATCGAACATTTTTTCTTTAAAATGAAAACAAAACAAAACACATGAGAGAGAGAGAGAGTGAGAGAGAGAGAGAGAATAGTTGTTTTGGGGCGTGGATTGATCATTTAAGGTTGATTGATCATTTAACGAGTTGAGAGAGAGAGAATATTCTTGTGTATGTGTATGTCATCGCTGTTGTTTACACTCAACCGTTGGCCATAAGAAATATACACTAAGCAGAGACGTTG